CATACCTCAGAAAAAATGGATTTTGTGTGTGTGTGTATGTGTCTGCAGATACAAATTTTCGTCGACGATTTTGGGAACACGGATGTAGCGATTTGAATAATTAAAAAAACATTCGATTCGTATTGATAAGGAGACCTGCTTATTAGTGTTTGGCGAAGGCAGGTCTAGTCGTTCCGAAGATATTTATTTGGCAAAAAGTGCTAAAAACGGTAACTCAGTTTTTAAGAAAGCGGAGCGTCCGATTTGAATAATTCAAAAAGCGTTTTACTTGTATTGACAAGATGAAGAACTGTTCAAGTTTTCATGAAAGCAGGTCTAGCGGTTTCGGAGATCTAGTGAAAAAAGTAAAAACAAATGCCATCTGGCGGTCAAAAATGATCATTAGACATATGCACATCAAATTATCAGATATTTTATACAGATTTCAATAATAAGTATGAATTTTCTTTACATTCCTATGGGTTCCGTACCAATGTTTATGCGTTAGACGATGACGCGGCGCTTACGCGCTTCCATATTTCGTCTCTATGCAGTTAAAGCAGTTCGATTGCTTTGAAAAAAAGTTCAGAATTTCTAAAATATTTCAAAATAAATTTTTCTTCAAAAAGTCTTTTTTTTCAAAAAAAAGTAAATTTTTATCAAAAATAATTTTTGTTACGGGAAGTTCCAGCAATTTGCCTTAAGGCACGATGCCATACGCCCCATTAGTTTGTCAATACAAATGTATAAAATTTGAAAACTATTAGATATCGGTTTGGATTTATGAAAAATATATGATGAATTTCACAAGATGGAAAATTTAAGTTTTTTGGAAATATGTATGAAAAATTCTGCATTTCTATATAAAATAGAAAGTAAATATGTTCGTGTTTCGAATAGATATAAATTCGTAGGTCTTTGGTAGACATTTCCATTTACATATAGATGATGACACGGAAATTTCAGCCTCAAAAGGTTTTGCCAATCAATAAATAAGGACCTCGTCCGCACGCAATTCTGAAAATAACACCGAAAAGATAAAGGAGAAAGTCCTTCATATAAATTCACTCCATACTATAAGTAGTACAACTGGTCTAATTTGATTTAATAATGTGTCTTTTACCTCAGTTTTTCGTTGATTGTTTTCGATCATTTGAAGAGATGAATTGGTGTGTCAGTAGGCAGTAGAAATCTGTCGGGTGCCCCCTTATAAGGCCAAAGACAGTCGTCGTTCATTGTGAATGTATTTAATATGTGTTCGCTAAAAACTAGATCGCCCACAATGGCCGCGTAATAGACACGAATTCGTCCCGTTCGCGGCGGGATAGTTTGGATTACACGATTACAGGGACGAACTGGGGGGAAAAATAAAAGAAGAATGTTTAGAGTGAATGAATTTGTGAGTTTGTCAATTATTCATATATCTCAGGTATGAATGTGTGAATGTGTGAATGAGTCCTAGACAAATGTTATACAGGGTGTCTCAGAACTTTTTTAACTTCCCGTAGGGTAAGTTATTGTAATCGTCCAAAAATCGAAATTGAAAATTTGTACATTTCTTAATTTTTCTTTAAATATCGAAAACAATTCTAATTTTAATTTTTTCGAGCTAAATTTCTGAAGCTCAGTTCATAAAAAATTTTAACTTTGCAATTCAGTTAAAATAATTCTTATAAATATTAGACAATGTCCTTCATTTTAAATTTGATTGATTAAGTTTTGTTTATTTAATTTTCTGTAATATATATATATATATATATTTTGTAGAGTTTCGAACAAGAATCCAAAATAATACAAAATAAAAAACAAGAAAAGTTTTTAAAAAACAATTTCTTTATTTAATTATTTGTTTATTGTCGACGTTTCGGAACTAGGTACTTCCATCTTCAGGACATCTGTCAAAACATATTCAAACATACAGGTAATTAATTCAACTTTGTCATTAACCTTTTCTTAAAAAATTTCCATAACTTTCAAAAAAATTTTCTATTATGTTTAATATCCTGTTTTGATAATCCACTCATTTATTTTTATCATTTTTATTTTGAACATATTATCATATTTCTGTACATTATTATATTTTTTACAATTTAATTCATTATTTAAGAAAAATCTATTTTCTTTTCCTAAACATATTGTTTGCAAAAATCTCATCAAGATCATGTTTCTTGACAGATGTCCTGAAGATGGAACGTACCTAGTTCCGAAACGTCGACAATAACAAATAATTAAATAAAGAAATTGTTTTTTTAAAAACTTTTCTTGTTTTTTATTTTGTATTATTTTTGGATTCTTGTTCGAAACTCTACAAAATATACACAAATCCAAGACTCTACCATTCAATATATATATATATATATATATATATATTGCAGTATTTATAATAATCTATTTGAAAACATTTATTATTCCTCGAATATTTCATTACAGTACGGGAAGTTTCAGCAATTTGCTTTAAGGCACGATGCCATACATCACTAATTTTTGTATGCATTTATTTATTGTTGATCAAAACATACATTTCTTTTTAAGACAATATGCTGGTCGAGGGGTGTTCCAGAACTTGATGTTAAGTCGAAATAGGCAATAGATTTAATCATAGCTATTACGGAAAAAAATAGAAAAAAAGGTCTCATGTAGTTAGTAAATTATGAGTTTCTAAATTGAACTTTGAACTTTGATGAACATGTAACAATTTCAGTTATTTTGGTTCATTTTTATTATTTCTGTTCTTTGAACTTTAGATCCACAATCACAAATAATATTTCTAAGACTTCAGTCAAAAATAATGAGGCAATTTCTGCAAGTTTTCCAGAATTAAGTCTTTTTGTAGAATTAAGAAAAACTACTCGACTTTGAGAGGTCCATCTCTATGGCCCTTCTTTAAAAATATGCATTAAAGAATGTTGACCAGTTTTATCATAAGTTGGTGCATTAAAAATGATAAATTACTTACCAAATTACTCGTAAACTTTTTTTTTATTTTTCTTAGCAAACTATGCAATAAGTACATTCAGCTACAATTATACCAATTTAAAATATCCTATTAATATAGCATAAAATTGTTTGGTAATTTCATGTAATAATTCATTTAAAATAAAAACCTAATGTTAAAAAACTATTACCCCGCTCCGGTTTGACGTTGAGTTCTGGGACACCATGTATGTAAATAAGTGATATCGTATGAACCAAAGAAAGTGAAACCGAACGATTTTATATATGAAAAATTACTATGAAAGACATGAATGATGGATGAGTAATTTCTGCAAGAATTCAACAATGTATGAATGTATAGTTTTTTTTTTGTAGAGCGAAAGAAATGCATTTATGCATTCAAGACTGGTCTTTTGTGTGGGTATGTCGGACTCGATACTGCCTGGGTATAATATCTCCGCTTTGCCCTTGCCTCTGGTCCCCACGAAAACCACCATTAGGCATTACTTCGTGGGGGGAGGATCTAGAATGTTATTATTTTTACACCGATGAATAAATGCGTGAATGTATATTTGTATAAATTACTGCAGAAGTCTAGTATGAATGCATTAACGAATTTGTAAATATGTAAAATCTAAGGTATTTAATAAAATTGATGAAATAATGTGTAAAATTATAAAATAATGCAGAATACAATAATGAGTAAAAGAATATGTTAATGTGTAAATATATAAATGTAATGAATATGAAAAATGTCTAAAACGGTAATATGTATATGTGTAAAATTTATGCAGAAATTAATCAATAATGAACAAAAGAATGTGTGAATGCTAAGTTTTTCAGAATCTTTGTGAGAGAATAATTGGATGAATGATTATGTAAATGTTTGAATTTTTGCAGGTGTCTACAATGAATGTGTGAACCTGTGAGGAATGAATGTTAGTCGATTTAGTAGAAAAATTTAGTGAATGCTCAAAATTTTTAAGTATAACTCCAAATTATAAAGTAACTATTTTTAGACCAAAACCTAAAATTGAACACCTTTTACATCAAATTTATTTATTTATTTATTTATTCATAAGCAAGCCGTAATCAATAATAATAGATATTATTTCAGGCTCTTGTCAAGCTTATTCATAGTTAATATTAAAAGAATAGTAATTTTATAATAATCATAGTAGATTTCACACAAATTTCGCTTCTGAAAAAAGAGTTGAAAAAAAGCATTCGAACATTAAATACAATGTTCATCATCAAGTTAATCATATTAAAGTCTATTTGACCACCAGTCAAGCTCAAAATTCTTGCACAAGGTTGAAAGTTATACGCATTTAAAACCGTAAAATTTTTAAATTAATAAAATAGAAATAAAAAAAAGAACTAGCTGTAAGTGGAATTCTGTCTTGAGGCAATTATGGCATCATGCCTTAAGGCAAATTGCTGGAACTTCCCGTACCGTAACGAAATGTTCGAGGAATACTGAATGTTTTCAAATTGATTATTATTATATATTCAAATCGGATACTCCGTTCTCTCAAAAAGTCTATTTCTATTTTCTGCACTCTTTGCTTCGTATCTCCGAAACGGCTGGACCTGCCTTTGCCAAAAACTAATCAGCTCTTTTCCCTATCAATAGGAATCGAATGTTTTTTGAACCATTCAAATCGGTTGATCCGTACGCCCGAAAACGTGGGCGAAAATTTGTATCCATACATACATACACACACACACATCCATTTTTTCTGAAGTATGCCAAAATGTTCAGAAACCTTCAAAAAGTCGAGAAATGTAAAAATTTTCAATTCCGATTTTCGGCCCATTACAATAACTTACCCTACGGGAAGTTAAAAATAAAGAAAAAAAATGGTTGTATAGGCGATCAAATGGTCAGACTACATAAATAAAGGATAAGGATTATGCAAGAAAATAGTTATTGAAATCAAATTGAGAAAAATCAGTAATGTCATAAAAAGCTAATTCTTTACAATTCCTACATTTTTCATGATTTTCAATATATAATGATTTGTAACTATTCATAATATTAAATATACATTAATATTTTTTATTAAATTTTTTTTTCCCCCCAGGTCGCGTCCATTCCGCCCTCGTCTCAGGTGTGAACTATGAGCAGAGGACCGTGACCGTGGAATGGTTCGAGAAGGGCGAGACCAAGGGCAAGGAGGTCGAAATAGACGTCATCCTATCCCTTAATCCGGAGCTGCAGCCGCAGAAGGACAACAGGCAGCAGCAGCAGCAGCAGCACCATCTGCCGCCACCAGATACCAACAGAATACTGCGGGTAAGTAGATGATAGAGGATAAGAAATAAATTTTATATTTTAATTTTTGAAGATGGAAATTTTAATCTAATATTTTAAACCACATTGTAGAAATGTTAATGTTATAATTTAAGATATGTTGGCCCGATGTAATATTTATAGGACAGCAAGGTTAATTATATACTTTTCTCTTTAAGATAATTTAACCCATGTTGGCCCGACGTAGTATTTGATGTTGCCTTAGCCATGTATTATTAACAACTATATTTTACATAATAATAAACAATAAAATTAAAAGCTCAAAAATGGCAGGTCAAAAGCCCCCCTACCAGCTTTTGGTTATTTGTAAAAGCACACCGTTAGTTGGCGACAAAATTAATTATAATTTATCCAGGGCATTTATCCCTTCTCTTGTTACTTCCAAAAAAGTGTCCGAATTTCATAGGATTGTTTATTCATATTAATTATATTGATGAATATTAGTCTTCCTGAGGTGTTAATATTTAGTAATGTAAATTAACAATTTGCTTATACATTTATTAGTTCCCACATTCACACTAAATTAAATAGTCTGCAATGAACAGAAGCGAACTAGATCTTCTCTTAAAATGTATAGTTTTAAGTTTTTTGCAGTATAGTTGGCCCACGTATTCTTTATGGTTAGAATAACCTTGATTGAAATATTTATACAATTTATTTATACTGATTATAGTAAGGAATAAATAATTACCTTCCCGTAGGGCAAGTTATAGTAATCGCAAAAAAAATCGAAAATGAAAATTTTTATATATCTTTACGTTTCAAAACCTTCTGAACATTTTGCCATACCTTAGAAAAAATGGATGTATGTGTGTGTGTGTATGTTTGTGCGCGTGTATGTATGCGTGCGCGGATACAAATTTTCGTCGACGATTTCGGGAACACGGATGAAGCCATTTGAATAATTCAAAAACCATTCGATTCGTATTGATAAGGAGACGTGCTGATTAGTTTTTGGCGATGGCAGGTCTAGCCGTTCCGAAGATACGAGGCAAAACGGAGCGTTCGATTTGAATAATTCAAACAACATTTTATTTGTATTGACTAAATGAAGAACTGTTCAATTTTTTCGAAAGGCAGGTCCAACGACTTTGGAGATCTAGTAAAAAAAGGAAAAAAATGCCATTTTGCGGTTAATAATGATCATAAGACATATGCACACCAAATTATTAGATATTTTATAAAGATTTTAACAATAAGTATAAATTTTGTTTACATTCCTATGGGTTCCGTACCAATGTTTATCCGTTAGACGGCGACGCGGCGCTTACGCGCTTTGATATTTTGTCTCTATGCAGTTAAAGCAGTAGGTACGATTGCTTTGAAAAAAAGTTTAGAATTTCCAAAATATTTCAAAATAAATTTTTCTTCAAAGTCTTTTTTTTCAGAAAAAAGTAAATTTTTGTCAAAAATTTATAATTTTCAAAAATCTAATTTTTTCGGAGTAAATCTTCAAAATTCAAAAGAAATTTTGAAGACGAATGTCGAAGTTTATGGATATTTTGTATGTTGGTTTTAGGAAATTTGGACTATTTACTTTTCATTAGGCCAAAAGAGCTGCTTGGCCAATTTTTGAACAATAATATTTAATGAACATTTCTTATCATTTATTTTTTTATAAGCATTGGTGGTGTCTTGTAATTATTTTGGAATGCCTTCTAAAAATAATAAAAGTATGTATGATAGGATCTATATTAATTTAGATAAACTGATGGACCGATTTGGATATAACGAACAACATCGATTTGTATTGACAATTATTTATAAATGTAATCTATCTAATATTTTTTTATAAACGAAAAAGTTCCAAAAACTTGCCTAAATGCACACATCACCAAATAAAATTTCATACTTTATTATTTCTAATTATTATTTTTGTTACTTATTAATTTTTTTACTACTTATTTATGTTAATTCTTTTTTTAAATGTTACATCCATAAATTAGTGATATCACGAGATGTGGTTTTAAAATATGTAATCATTTAGTCATTATTATGTCTTTTGAATAATGAGTATAAATGACTCATGAATAATTTTTTTATTCACTCTGAATGCAAATTAGTAGTTGCTGTGCTTATTTAGTTGCCTACGATTCAGTAGCAATATTTATAAAAAATAATAAATAAATAAATAAGACATTTTATATAATTTTGAATAAAGAAGTCTAATTTTACTAAAATTCGATCCCCATCCCAAAAGAAAATTATGTCTAATAAAGATGCCTCTGTTTTATTTAAGCTAAAGGCATTTATAAATTTTTTTTTGAGATCAAATTATGATTTATCTAACTTTTGTTTTACTGACAATGTAACCAGCTGTCAGTACATATTTTATTTTTCGACAAAATGATTCAAAATTAAAAAGTGCCGTTGCAATTTCAAAATTAATCGTATCAGTGGATCTTCCGAGTAACAGGTTAGAGCTTTTAATTATTCTTCTCGATACAAATATTCGAGAAAAAATCTATTCATTTTGAAAGTATAATTGAAAATTCAGTATTTTACTTTTGATGGCTTAATATTCAGTTAATATATATGTGGTGCATTTTGTAATAAACGAGACCGAGTAGGAAAGAGTTTGGATGGATTTTTAAGAAAAATTCTGAAATTTATAAACGAATTTTCAAAGTGTATTTTTTACTAAGTTGTTCAATGAAGTTACTATGGCTCGTGTGAAATATTTCTTGATATTATCGTGGCGATTAACGTGTTAAGGGGGTATTCTAGTGTAGAAATTAAAAAAAAAAACGATTTTTTTTATTTTATGTTTTCAAAGTTTAACTATCTAAAAATATGGGTACGAGAAGGTTTTTGAAAATTTGAATTCTTTTCGGAGATATAGGCATTTTACTGAGTCGGTCTTCATACTGGTTTGGGCTTCACGCAAAAATTTAAATGCGTTTTTCTCAGAACAGACTTTTTCAGTACTGTTGACACGATTTCTCGAGTTTTAATCGACCGATTCACTTGAAATGTTCAGAGAGTCTTGTTTATAGACCTGTCTATAGTCTGAACTAGAATTATCCCGAAATTCCTATTTTTACTATTTTTAAAAAAATTCGAGAAACTCAAAAAACAGTAAAAAACACACTTTTTTTCAAGCAGTCGCCAATTTATAAAAAAATCGTTTTACTCATCGCTAGTTCAGGCGATTACGACATCATTGTAGATTAATAATCTTTTCATTTTTTACATTTCCGATGGCTAGGAGGGCTGAAATCATGTCAAGACTGAGGTGCCAATTTTTTGAGATCACACACTTTATCAGCTGCCAGTTTTTACAATTTTCAATTTTTTTATTTTTTTATTTTTATTTTGTATTTTAATAATATTAATTAAGTAAAAACATTCATTGCTTTCTTTTACGACACTTTAAAAAACCTAAAGACCTAAAATTCATCGCTTTACACTAGAATACTCCCTTAATAAATTTAGCCAATGTCCTCTTCTGCTCACGTCTCAAATCTCGTTTATTTTAGGGTGCACCTAATGTTTTAAATTGCTAATTGAAGTCAATCGCGTGTATCTTTTCAGTAATACGGAATGACTTCAACAAATTGATTTATCTTAAAAATAATAAAAAAAATCTTCAACTAAAATCATAACGCAGATCAAAAATTAATTCGTACAACAATTAGTCAAACATTTTTTTGATGCTGTATACACAACCCGAATGCGAATTTAACGACGAACTGTCTCATAAACTTTAACCTGGGGAATTGTTTTAAAATGAAAAGTAAAAATGACGACGAGAGCAAGAAAAATGTTAAACGGTTGCCGCCAGTGACCCAGGCCACAACGGCGGTCAAGACCGTTCTAACCCAAAGCCCGAGGAATATCATCAATAATGACAATGGTAATAAATCTGCAGTCGCCAGAAACAGATGCAGCTCTTGCAAAAATACCACCAGAGAGAAATCTGCGCCGGAAAATAAGAACACTTGGTCAAAAATCAGCAGCGCGAATAATAATAATAATAACAATAAATTGTTGAAGAAACCTTTGCCGAATAGTGGTGTCGAGGCGCTAAAGGCCAAACCGAGGAACAATTCTATTGCCAGATGCGAGACGTCGTCAGTCGTGCCTCTGTATCGGCAGAAGCAGGCCTGGCTCTATAACAACGCGAATAAACAACCGCCGGCGGTTGCCAACGGCAACAAAGATAACGCCGCGTCGACGAGCGCTGCCGTCAAAGATGCGCCGAAAGCACCGGCGGCAAACAATTCAGTTGCAAAACAAAGCCTGCTCGAAACTATCGCTCGTCGCCGTCTGGCGGGCTGTTGGTCAGCTAAAAGCTGCTGCGTTAATAAAAAAGACGGCAAAATAACCTTGACTCGGACTAAAAGCGCTTCCTTACGCGCCCCCGGCGTCCTCAGTTTCGTCAACGAGCAGCTAACCTCCTCCAGATCGTTTGTCTTGCGTCTTGTTGACGCACCTGACGACGCTTCCAACACCCAGCAGAGGCCGCTGCCGGAGCCCGGCCTTTGTCTGCGCCAGTTCGTCAACAGCAAAATCTTCAACAGTAACAGTAAAGTCGCAGACAAACCTGTGAAAAAATACTTACCGCCGTCGTCGCTATGCGGTAAAGAGCGCAAAATTTGCTCTGCAAACTTGACCGATAAGCGTGCCAGGAAACCGCTCTCCGGGCTCGCGGTTGGTGAAAAACCAAAGCCTTTCCAGCAGTCAACGAAAAGGACTATTAATGAGGTCAAGAAAGGACCATGTCCAGGCGCTGGTGGTCAACTGCGGCAGAATGCAGCGGGCGTGCGTGCAGAAAACGCCTCGTTAGCCAGCAACAATATCAGCATTAGCAGCAATAATAATAAGAGAGATTTAAGCGGCAAACGGAAGCGGAGCTGTTCGGAGCAGCAATTGAACAGGAGCATCAATAGCTTTCGAAAGATCGTGCCTCAGAGACCGAGCGTCATGTTTCCGATCATCTTCAATTTCAAGGTAGATAATAGAAATATCTATAACGGTTT